ATGGCTCTCACTTCTTTAGGGTATATACCTAGTAATGGAATAGCTGGGTCAAATGGTATTTCTAATTCCAGCTTTTGAAGGAATCGCCATACTGCTTTCCACAACGGTTGTACATTCATGAAATTTTTGACTTGGTTATATTTGAGTTTTCATGTCATCTTTAATATTGGGCATATCTTTGATATGTATAAAGATTTAAAAATTAATTGACTGACACATCACTGAATTACTCCTTTGTTCACAGTAACCTCTAGGCTAAACTGCCATCGTAGCCCTAAACAGGAATGTTTCAGTCATGTGTGCAATCAGATTTTAACCAGTTCCAATAAAAGGAAACTGGATGAATTGTATTTTAAGATGTAATAATAATCTTATGTGAGTTACCTTTAGTTTTAAATCTATGTGCTTACATAACATTTCAGCATTTGTAGCTTGTTTTCCTGTAGAATATATTAAGAACTCTTTTTTGTATTATTGTTTGCAACGATAATGCTTTTTAATTTTTTATTTAGCAATTTTAAATTTGTAGTCAGAATGAGTGGTAAATTACATGAACAGTACTGATTCTGTTTATAATTCATTTATTTCAAAGTGAAAACATTTTCTGAAGGTTTGACCTTATGGACTGCAAAGCAGCTTGAAAATGAAACCATTAACTGATCAACATTATGCCCTTATAGGAATGTTTTATAAAGAAGATAAGTGTATATAAATATTATATAAACAATATTTGACAGACCTATGCAAGGTTTTCCATTCCATTACACAAAATTTTTGTTGATAACTGAGATTTAAAAGAAGTTTTATGGAAAATTAAATACTTTCTTTTTTTTTTTAACCGCCGTTGTGCTGTGTCCCAGATGTTTAATTTATGCATGAAACGATGTTGCGATTCAGGGAAGTGCTAGGAAGTCGGGAATCTATGTGCAGAAATTCCAAGTAATTAATTAGTCATTTCTTAGGGCCTCAGATACTTAATTAGTATAATGTTGTAAATCAGCCATTCAGGACGAATTTTCCACATCCACGTTCATTTTAGAGAGAATCCTGTTTGTGCTGTTTTGAAGGTCAGTGGAAGGAAGAACCTGTGTTGCCTGTCACACTGTTTAGAGCTGAATGTGGTGCCCAGTGCTGGCCGTGTTGTTGTTGTTGTTTGCCATCGAGTCGGCCCTGACTCATAGCGACCCCTCCTTGGGTTTCCGAGGCAGTATCACTACGGAAGTAGATTGCCCAACCTTCCTTCCCAGGAGTGGCTGGTGGGTTTGAACCGCCAGACTTCTGGTTAGCAGTCAAGTGCCTTAGGCACCACACCACCAGAGCTCCTCCCGTAGTCACCGTCAATTTTATCACTCTTCTTGCACACAGGAAGTGCTTAGGAAGTTGTTGCTTTCTCTCCTTCCCCCCCCATCACTGTTTCCCACTAACGCTGCACCCTAATGTGTGCAGAGAGGAGTTCAGGAAGGACGGTGAGTGTGAAGAGTGTCGCATGGAGCCGTAACAAGGTGCACGTTTCTCCCTGGCTGGTGAAGGAGGAGGGTTAATCAGTGCCCCATATGCCCACTTTCGGAATGTTTGCAGCTGTAGCTTTTTGTTTCTGAAGCAGTCCTTCCTCTTCTCCATTACTCGCGGGCCTGAGAACATGAGGCCTTGTTAAACAGATCAAATCAGGGAAATGTTCTAAAGTGCGCAGGGGACATGCCACATGGAGAGATGCTGCCCCTGCTTACGGAAGCACGCAGCCACACAGCCCAAGAGGCAAAGCGCTTGGTGACGTTCCCCTGGAAGCAGTGGATTCCATTTCGGCGGAGAGGGCATGTGATGAAAGCGTAGGCCCCGCCAGCAGCGCTCTGGGTTTGTCTTACTGCTGTTGTCTTAGAGGCAGGTCCTGCGTTAAACGTCTGTAAGAGAATTGATGGTGTTGGGGACTGTTCTTATCCTAGAGGTTTGTTGTACACATCAAGTACCTCCCGGTTTCAGTTTATTCTGAAATGAGTAAGAAATCGTCAGACATTCTCAGTTGAAAGTCAGTCTCATTTTGATGCCAAATGAAATTTCTCTCTCTCTTTCCTGTTATTCATCAACCATTGACAGAAAAGTGAAATAATCAAGGCGTATAGTTTTATAAAGGAGAGTGAGGGTCTTAGGATAGAAGTGCCTACTTCATATCCTTGTAAATTAATAAAATAAAGGATTATAAGTGTTTATACGTGTGATTTTCTCTATCTTTGTGAAATGATCTTAAGTTTAGAATGTAGCTTTACTAGTGGTAACGGTTCTACCTCACGTTGATTTTAAAAAATGGGCTTTTCCTTTATTTAAGGAGAACTCACAGGTCAAATAATGAAATCTTATAACTAGCTTATAGGAGCTCTGGTGGCATAGTGGATAAGGCATTTGGCTGCTAACCAGAAGGTCAGTAGTTCATACCCACCAGCCGCTCTGTGGAAGGAAGATAGGCAACCTACTTCTGTAAAGATTTACAGCCTCAGAAACCCATTGGGGTCGCTATGAGTCAGAATTGACTCTATGGCAGTGAGTTTGTTTTGTTTTTTTTTATAACCAGCTCTATGATATAGAGAATTAGTTTGTAATTCATGTTGTTTATAAAACATACTAAACCATGCTCATCTGAATTATTCCGCTCATTTACATGTACATATATTGCATTTCCAAATTTTAGACAAGACTGAATCTCTTACTTTTTTTTTTTAAGACTGAGTTGGAAAATATTGAAGTGACACAAGGCATGTCAGCCGAGACGGCGGTCACTTTCCTCAGCCGACTGATGGCTATGGTGGATGTCCTTGTATTCGCCAGCTCTCTAAATTTCAGCGAGATTGAAGCTGAGAAGAACATGTCTTCTGGAGGTTTGATGCGGCAGTGCCTACGGCTGGGTGAGTCTGCTCAGAAAACAGAGCAGGAGTGAGGTAATTCCCCGCACCTGCTCTGTGACGCTCAGTCGGTACATCAGGTGTCGATGCCAGCTGCTGTTTCTGTCGTAGAGATTGCCTTGGAGTTCTTGAAAATTACTAAAATGAAAATGTACGTGCCTCTCCACACTGGAGGGTTTCAAGGATTTGGTAATCCTTAATGGCTTGTGATCTGAAACAGAGTTCAGTATGTTTTTGAGTTCTTTCAAAATCAAGAGGACTACTGCATTTTCCACTAAGTGATTTTAATGCAAGTCAATTTATGAATCCTTTTCTGACCTGACAACCATATTTTCACACATATTGCACCCACGGAAACAGTGAGCACACGCATATAACATGCATGGCACACACAGGAAACTAATGTACGAGGGGAGTGCGCAGTTTGCAAAAACATAGTGCACATGTTAAATTACAATAAGGGGGGGGTCGTTCTGCAGTTTGCAAAAATGTATCATGTAGGTGCTGCTTATGTCAAGTAATAGTGGGGGTAGTTGTTCTGGGCTCATAAAGATGTCAGCATAGTAGTGGCATTGTTTTACCCACATAACGCTCGAAGAAGTACAACGATTACGCCCATCTCATTACCTTTTCAGAGTTAACCAGTATCACTGATAAACACCATTCTACCTACGCTGGTCATCTATCTTGGGTTGCAAAGAAAATTTAACAGCGAAAGCTCTTAAGTAGGTCTGAAAGTTCACTTTGGCAGGAACCATCTTCCGTTTCGCCTTCCTGAAAGGGAAAATGTATTTCTATGATTCAGACTCTCCGAGGGACCAGAAAGTGCCACATTCATGTTTACCTCGGGTCTGGCTCAGGACGGGGGAGCCTAAGGCCTGCTGAGTCAGGGAGGGAACTCTGGAGTCGCACCCTTTTTTCCCTGGGATTTTAAAATAGTGTGAGAACCCTTCAGGTGCAGAGCCGTTGAGGAGAGGCCGATTGTGACGCGTGGAAGGCAGGAGGACTTGGCTCACGAATGATGGGGCAGAGCCTCCTTTTATGTTTAAAAGACAGGTTGTTCGAGAACAACCATTCCTATCTGTCGTGAGGAAAAGGCCCCCACCTCTCTGTCACCACGGGGTGTGGGTGTGGGCACAGGCTCGTGGCTTCTGCGAGGACGGTCAGCAGGCGCTGATGGACGGAGCGCTGTGGCACGAGGGTGCGGCTGCTGCTGCTGCTGGTAATGGCTTAGCAGCTTGATCACCGTTGCTTGGTCGTTCCAAGCTTGTGTCCGAACATATTCTGAGATTTCACTGCTGATTTTGTTTTTTTGTCCTAAACAGTCCTGGCAGGCTTAGTCTCTGTCACCCACAGGGAACTTGCAAAAGTGAGTCATAATGAAAGCAAACACTGAGCCATTCCTGGTGAGGTGCTGCCTGGGTTCTAAGCCCTTTGTACACACCGATCCAGTTACCCCTTGGCACAGCTCTGTGAGGAAGTTCCTGTTCAATCCCTGGTTTACTTCTGGGGCTGCTGAGGCACAGAGAGTTGAAGCAGCTGGCCCAAAGTCACACAGCCCATACGTGGCAGAGCCAGGATTCAAACCCAGAGTGTCTGGCTTTTTTAAAAAATAAAAAGACAAAAGACCTTGCGCTTCTTGAGGGCTTCCTGGTGAAGGCCATGGACTCCCACCATGAGGAGGTGGCTGCTGGGATCTGTGGGACTTGGCTGGCTGCGCGCTGTCCCGTTGCCGGAACTGGGAAGTGAGCTCAGCCTCAGCACCAAGTTAGTGCAGCTGGGGGCAGAGGCTTGGTATTGATCGTTAAAACTCTCACCTGAATTATGCGTTTGAAAAACATACTGAACCATGAAATCGCGAATCTGCACGAGCCCACCCTGGGGCTTCAGAGTGCCTGTGCCGCCATTTCTGCAGCTGGCTGGCGGGTCTGTGGGTGTGTGTTGTCCTTGTTAACTCACACATGTGCTGTGTATGCGTGTTGTTACTCTACATTATAATTTAAAACCATCATGGATCTGGTTGGCCTTGAGAATGATGATACATGGTTTGGGGCAGGAGAAATAAAGACAGAAAGAACTAAGCCAACAGCTGCTTTCGTGCACACCGTGGCCGACAGTGTGTGTTAATAACGTGCCCTTGCTTTCTTCGATAGTCTGCTGTGTTGCTGTGAGAAACTGCTTAGAATGCCGGCAAAGGCAGAGAGACAGGGGTACCAAATCTTCCCACGGGGGCAGCAAACCTCAGGAAGCTCCCCAAAGCGTGACCGCCACCGCCGTGTCCAAGGTAATTAGACATTGCTATGTTCAACAGAATTGACCTTTCTCCTTCACTGTGGTAAAGTAGATGTAACATGCAATTTGCCACTGTGATCATTTTTCAAATGTAAACACTAAAATTGTAATCATAGTTCTGCCTCACCATCACTGTGTTTTATTCCTCAAGCTTCCTCATCTTCCGTTCCTAACAGAAACTCCATATTCCCTCAGCTGCCCATTCTCCCGACCTCAGCCCCAGGCCACCACTTGTCTGGTTTGTGTCCCAACGGGTCTGCCTGTTCTCGCTCTCTCATCTCTGCGGGACCAGAGTGCATCTGTCCCTTTGTGTCTGGGTTCATTACGCGGTGGACTGTGTCGGGGCCTCGTTTCTCTTCATGCTTTCTCTTCCATTGCACAGATAGACCACATCCTCTCTGTCCACTCATCTGTTAAGGGACATTTGGGTGATTTTCCTTTTGAAAACATTCTGTTGTTGTTTTTGTTGTTTAAATTCTTGAGAACAAAGTGAGATGCTGCTGTGTAATGGACTAAGCCTGGCTGTGCGCCATGGCTGGCTCCTTCGCTCGGTGGTTGTGTTACCAAGCGTGCTTCAGCCTCCTGAGCCCAGAGTTCTTTCCTGGTAGAATGTGGACACCCAGGATTTCCCCCGCATGGGTATTAAAAGGGTTACGTTAGCAGGCCACTCTAAACATCCTTAATGATCATTCTGGTAGCGCATATTTTCAGAGAGATCAGTGCATGCATAGTGTACTTGTCAGTGGATATACTTTGATGATGCACCATCCCATAATTCCCTAAATGGATTGAATGCCTAAGTTTTGAGTGAATGGTGTGGAGTAGTTTGGAATATTCCAGGAATTCTGATTCTAAATTAAGTCTTTTGAGAATATGCCTCACTGAGTCTTTGCTTCACATGCAACATTTCGTCAGCAAAGCTTACAAGGCCCTATATCCCTGACCCTTGCTGACTTCTCAGCCTAAGCTCTATCTCCTTGGCCTTGCATTTACTGCCTTAGTCATTTTAGGGGCCGGTGGCCAGAACAGGTAGGGCGGGCAGGGAACAGCCCCTAGGTGGCAGGGAGCGGTGGCAGATAGTGCTGGTGGCCGGAACAGGTAGGGCGGGCAGGGGGAACCCCAGGAGGCAGGGGGCAGTGGCAGATAGGGCCGGTGGCTGGAACAGGTAGGGCGGGCAGGGGGAGCTCCAGGAGGCAGGGGGCGGTGGCAGACAGGGCAGGCAGGAACAGGTAGGGGAGGAAGCCCAGGAAGTGAGCAGAGTGGTTGGAGCAGCTAAGGGACATGAACTTGTCTGTCGGTTTGTTACACTGTGGTTGTGCTGGCTGCACGTTGCTGTGAGGCTGAAGGCTGTGCCAACAGGGGTGCCCATGGTGGACTGGTTTTGGTGGAGCTTCCAGACTGAGACAGACTCGGAAGAAGGAAGAGGCCATCCACTTTGCAAAGAAATGGCCAGTGAAGACCTTATGAATAGTAGTGAAACACTGTCTGATACATTACTGGAAAATTTTAAGAACAGCCCTGAAACATTTCCGATACAGTGCTGGAAGATGAGCCCCTCAGGTCGGAAGGCACTCAAAATATGACTGGGAAAGAGCTGCCTTGGCAGGGTAGTGCCTACCTTAATTATAGGATAAAGTAGAGCTTTCAGGGCCTCCATTTGCTGAAGTGGCACAACTCAGTATGAGAAGAAACAGCTGCAAACATCCATTGATAACTGGAACATGGAATGTACGAAGTATGAATCTAGGAAAATTGGAAGTTGTCAAAAATGAAGTGGAACGCATAAAGATCAATATTCTAGGCATCAGTTAGCTGAAATGGACTGGTTTTGGTCATTTTGACCTACTGTGCTGGGAATGACAAATTGAAGAGGAATGTGTGGCATTCATCATCACAAAGAATGTTGCAAGATGTATCCTGAAGTACAATATTGTCAGTGATAGAATAATACCCATATGCCTACAAGGAAAGCCAGTTTACTACTACTACTATTCAGATTTACTCACCAATCACCAAAGCCAAAGATGAGGAAGTTGAAGATTTTTACCAACTTCTGCAGTCTGAAATCGACCAAACATGCAATCAAGATGTGCTGATTATCACTGATGACCAGAATGCAAAAGTTGGAAACAAAGAATTACTGGTAGTTAGAAAATTTGGCCTTGGAGATAGAAATATGCTGGAAATTGCATGATAGAATTTTGCAAGACCAATGACTTATTCATTGCAAATACCTCTTTTCAACAACACAAATGATGGTTATACACATGGATTTCACCAGGTGGAGTACACAGAAATCAAATTGACTACATCTGTGGCAAGAGGTAGTTGAGAAGCTCAGTATCTTTGGCCAAAACAAGGCCAGGAACTGATTGTAGAGCAGACCATCAACTGTTCATTTGCAAGTTCAACTTGAAGTTGAAGATAATTAAAACAAGTCCACAAGAGCCAAAATATGACCTTGAATATATCCCTCCTGAATTTAGAGACCAAATAAAAGAATAGATTTGATACATTAAACATCAGTGACCAAAAACCAGAAGAATTGTGGAATGACACCAAGAACATCATCCATGAAAAAAGCAAAAGGTCATTAAAAAGATAGGAAAGGAAGAAAAGACAAAAATGGATGTCAGAAGAAACTCTGAAACTTGCTCTTGAATGGAGAGTAGCTAAAGCAAGTGGAAGAAAGGACAAGATAAAAGAGCAAAACTGAAGATTTCAAAGAGCAGCTCGAGAAGACAAAGTGAATTATTATAATGAAATGTGCAAAGACATGGGGTTGGAAAGCCAAAAGGGAAGAACACACTCAGCATTTCTCAAGCTGAAAGAACCAAAGCAGAAATTTAAGCCTCGAGTTGCGATATTGAAAGATTCTACGGGCAAGGTAGATGCAGGAAACATCAAAAGAAGATGGAAGACATACACAGAGTCACTGTACCAAAAAGAATTGGTTGATGTTCATCCATTTCAAGAGGTGGCCTATGATCAAGAACCAATGGGTACAGAAGGGAGAAGTCGAAGCTGTACTGAGGGAAGTGGCAAAAAAAGAAGGCTCCAGGAATTGACAGAATACCCACTGAGATATTTCAACAAATGGATACCACACTAGAGACACTCACTCGGTTAGGCCAAGTGATTTGGAAGACAGCTATCTGGCCAACTGACTGAAAAAGATCTATATTTGTACCCATCCCAAAGAAAGGTGATCCCACAGAATGTGGAAATTATCGAGCAGTATCATTAATATCGCATGCAAGTAAGATCTTAATGAAGATAATTCAAAAATGGTTACAGCATTTTATTGACAGAGAACTTCCAGAAATGCAAGTTGGATTCAGAAGAGTATGTGGAATGAGGGATATTATTGCTCATGTCAGATGGTTCTTTGCTGAAAGCAAAGAACACCAGAAAGATGTTTACTTGTGTTTTATTGACTATGCAAAAGCATTCGATTGTGTGGATCATAACAAATAATGGGTAACATTGAGAAGAATAGGGATTCTAGAACACTTAATTGTATTCATGAGGAAGTTGTACATAGACTAGGAAGCTGTCATTCGAACAGAAGGGGACACTGCATGGTTTAAAATCAAGAAGGGAGTGTGTCAGGGTTGTATCCTTTCACCATACTTATTCAATCTATATGCTGAGCAAATAATCTGAGAAG